CAAGGTTTTTTATAGGAGGAAAAATCCTCGTTAGTTAGTAGTTTCATAGAATCACCAACATTTTCAAATAAAACACAAAATGAAAAAAAAAAAAACTAGGTCTTTTTGTAGGACAACAACAGTGTGAGCTACGAAAATGGCACAAAAGGTTATGGTAAATCAGACGGAGAAGTTAGGTAAGCAATAATGGGACATGAACAGAGATATCTTTTTCTTTTTCTTCCCCTTAAAGGTTTTTTTTTTTTTTTTTTTTTAGCTTTTTCGGTTGAGATTAGGGATCTGGTACTCGAGAAAAAGTCAAAAGTGGAAGGAATAAAAAACCATATGTAATTAGTGATGTCAAAGTTGTAGAATGCTTGATTAGGTCTACATGCACTTACTATATTATAGTGTTATTCATCATCGCTTCATATATTTGACCAATGGCAGGGTGGACAAGGACGCGGACGGACGGATCACCGAAGAAGAAGTGAAAGAGGTGGGAACTCAACATAGAAAAATATTGAAGGCATTAATTAATTAAATTGCTCAGTTTACAAGAAATTAAATCTGGAGAGTTCTAGAAGCATTCCGAATCATCCTTTTTTTTTCCTCATTGTTTTTTTTTTTGACAGATTATTGCCTTAAGCGCCTCCGCTAATAAATTGTCAAAAATAAAAGAACGTGCGGAAGAATATGCGGCCCTTATCATAGAGGAGCTGGACCCCGACAACTTGGGATACATTGAGGTTTGTATTCTTACCATCAATTCATGTATAAGAAAACCTATTGCATATATTGGCTCTCATATATGTTAATTTACTTTACTGGGATACTTTGGCCTTAAGTGAGCGTGCACTGATTAAACAATACTCCTGCAAAGGTCCCAAAAACTGTTTTGATTTTTTACATGTCATCAAAAAAAGTGGATCACCTTGTGTTAATTTAAAAGTTCTGGGCTGCCCCAAAGATAACCCATAATCAGTAATAACAAAATCGGCCTTGCCCTGCACATATGGTCAAAATAGCCGGTGTTGGCAAAAGCTGGCCCAGTCAATTATTATCATTTCATAACTCTGAACCTCTGATGAAGCCCAATAATTGCAGTAGTGCAAGTGGAACGTAAATGTGAATGCTAATGTTTGCGGGTGGATATATATGTACAGTTGTACAACTTGGAAACGCTGCTTCTGCAAGCCCCTGCGCAGTCAACGCACATAACGACGGACAGTAGAGTGCTGAGTCAGATGCTGAGTCAGAAGCTGGTCCCCACCAAAGAGTACAACCCAGTAAAGCGGTGCACGAGCGGCATCGCCTACTTCGTGCAGGACAACTGGAAGAGGATATGGGTGATAGCTCTGTGGATTTGCATATGTGCAGGGCTTTTCGCGTGGAAGTTCGTTCAGTACAAGAACAGGGCCGTCTTCGGCATCATGGGCTACTGTGTCACTTCAGCTAAAGGTGCCGCCGAGACTCTCAAATTCAACATGGCCCTCATTTTACTGCCTGTCTGCAGAAACACCATCACCTGGCTTCGAAGCAGGACCAAACTGGGAGCCATCGTTCCATTCGATGACAACATTAACTTTCACAAGGTGTGTGTGTCTATATACTGATAACGTTAATACACCCACATGCTCGGCCTTCACCGGTCATGCATGCCCTTACTTCGGTTGTTTGAGAAGTAACAGGAGTGTTTTGTTTTGTGTGGATTCAGGTGATCGCTTTTGGCATTGCGCTTGGGGTTGGGACGCATGCGATATCACATTTAACATGCGACTTCCCGAGGTTGTTGCACGCGACGGACGCAGAGTATGAGCCGATGAAGAAGTATTTTGGAAAAGAGAGGCCCAACAATTATTGGTGGTTCGTGAAGGGGACGGAGGGTTGGACCGGCATCGTCATGGTGGTGCTTATGGCCATAGCCTTCATACTGGCCCAGCCTTGGTTCCGTCGCAACAGGCTAAACCTCCCCAAACCCCTCAAGAAGCTTACTGGCTTCAACGCCTTTTGGTACTCTCACCACCTCTTCGTCATCGTCTATGCCCTACTAATCGTTCACGGATACTACCTATACCTCTCCAAGCACTGGTACAAGAAAACGGTATGCTTCGTCTCCCCCCTACTCTGTAATCCACCCTCTCCTTTTTGTTCTACTTTGTTGCTGAACTTTGTGTTGTGCCCCAGACGTGGATGTATCTCGCCGTTCCAATGGTAATATATGCATGCGAACGACTCATTCGCGCTTTTAGGTCCGGTTACAAATCTGTCAAAATCTTGAAGGTGCGTACATTTTTCCTTGAATTTGATTTACTATTCCATCCTCTGTTTTGCTTTATTACTGATGTTTATTAATAACTCTGCCTTTCAAAACTGCAGGTTGCAGTATACCCAGGAAATGTACTGGCTTTGTATATGTCTAAGCCACAAGGATTCAAGTACATGAGTGGCCAGTACTTATTCGTTAATTGCTCAGATGTCTCCCCATTTCAATGGTATGTGCCTTGTTCACGAGTTCATAATTTCTTTTCATTTTGCTGATATGAACCGACGACTTCACTACTGATGCGAAGATAATGGCTAATAAATTAGTTTAATTTGCGTGGTATCTGCAGGCATCCCTTCTCTATCACATCAGCTCCAGGAGACGAATATGTAAGCGTTCACATTCGGACTCTGGGAGACTGGACATCACAGCTCAAAACCGTTTTCGCCAAGGTCACTTTTCTACCACTCACAACCTGAACTTTATATGGTGCATTCATTCATGTTATTCTATATGAAAATCCTTCCTGGTCTAAATACATACTCGTGGCATTAATTGATTCAGGCATGCCAGCCAGCAAGTGAGGGCCAAAGTGGTCTTCTACGAGCAGACGTCTCAGCGGGCAACAATATACCAAGGTAAGGCTTATTAACAAGAAGACCTATATATACACATACCCCGATTCAAATGATCAGAAAAGCATTTCTATACTGACTCTGTAATGAAACTGGAAATAATTGCAGGATGCCAAAGCTGTTGATTGATGGGCCATACGGAGCACCAGCACAAGACTACAAAAACTACGAAGTTCTTCTTCTGGTAGGACTTGGAATTGGAGCGACCCCATTGATCAGCATACTCAAGGACGTGCTGAACAACATGATGCAACAGCAAGACGTAGAAGTAGGAGAGGTAGAGAGTGGAGTTAAGAACAACAAGAGGAAACCTTTCGCCACCAAGCGAGCCTATTTCTACTGGGTTACTAGGGAACAAGGTTCCTTCGAATGGTTCAAGGGTGTGATGAACGAGGTCGCAGAGAACGACAAGGAGGGACTCATTGAGCTCCATAACTATTGCACAAGTGTGTACGAAGAAGGAGATGCTCGATCAGCATTAATCACTATGCTTCAATCTCTTCACCATGCTAAGAGTGGGGTCGATATCGTTTCAGACACAAGGGTCAAGACCCATTTTGCCAGACCCAATTGGCGCAGTGTCTTTAAACGCGTCGCCCTTAAACACACTGACAAAAGAGTTGGTACGTAGTAGCATACTAGTATATTAATTTCCCCCCTTGCTTGTTCCTCGTTCCTACTCATCATTCATTCTTTCTCCTGTGGCTCATTTCATCTCCTTGTGCTTTTCTCAGGTGTTTTTTACTGTGGGGCTCCGGCACTGGTTGGTGAACTGAGAAGGCATTCTCAGGACTTTTCCAGGAAAACCAGCACCAAATTTGATTTTCATAAAGAGAATTTTTAGATTTTTTTTAACAGTTCAATAATTCTTTTAAACTGTATTATATATAGTCGTATCTAGCTGTGCTTTTCTTTCCTATTTTTCTTCTATTTAGATACGAGAAGTTGCAACTGATGCATAGACATATGTACATGTATTATACAACTAATTTATTTTATCCACCGTCGTGTAACAACATGACACACAGACACACACATCTTGATGCTGTACGATTCCATGGAATCAAGTGAATGAATTGAAGAGCTTTAGTGTGAACTCTGGATCATCAAGGTATATTTATTATCACATCAGGGAGAGCGTCTAAAACCTCAAAGCTAACATGTGTCGTGGAAGCAGCGAGCTGGGCCTCTGCTTTGCCAATAAACAGTTGGAGAACTCTACTTTCCGATAGCTTTCAGAGAAAACGATCAGGCCTTTTTCTTTGAATCTATATATGCTCATAAAATATTTATGACTTAAGAGTACAAATAAAATCAATGGAAGAAAACATCAATCATTTACTCCCAGAAACTAAACATCAACTTGTAATCTTGTGCTATGGAATTAGTGAATGTGCAAACAAAAAAAACTTCCATAATTGACAAGAACACACAAACTCAATGCAGTTCCTGAATAACTTGAGAAGAAAGGGTGTGACGTGTGAGGTTTTCTTTCCAACACCAAAGCCATTTTGGCTATAAAATAAAAAGCACTGTCCAATCTGTATGGAAAGAAAGCTATGCTAATTGCAACACCTCACATATAAAAGTAGAGAGACAAAGGGGAAAGAAAATCCGGCATCTTTTTTTCTTCCTTTTATCGAATTGTTTTCCGGTGTTTGAATTTGGTCCATTTTATGAGACCGACGTAACAAAACTCACTTCTCCTCGTATTCAGCAAACGGTCCGAGGAAAGGATAAATGAAAATGGAACTACTAGGTGATGAGTAAAATAAGCTGTCAAACTGTGGGTTGGTTTTTTGCGGTAAAAGTAACTTGCATTGAAGTTACTTTGTGAAATAGAACAAGTATGAAAGAAAGAAAATTCTTCAGCCAGAAGGCATCAGACACCGATTAGAAAAAGGCAAAAAGGCGAAGAGGTATCAAATGCCAAATTGATAGGTCTCCACTATACAAATTGAAGAGTATTAAATAAACAATGACATTTTCAGGAACGTCTACCCCTTACACTCTTCTGGGCCCACCATATATTTCCTTTTACTCATAGCGTCCCTCTACTGCATAAAAAGCCTCACTTTATTTGTTTGTTTATTCTTGCGGGCCAAAGTTTTGAGGCCTTCTTTGTATTTGCTTTATAAGCTGTCCCAGCAGTTTTAGATTACCCTTCCAACTCTTCTCTCTCCGGAAATCAAAGTCCAGCATCAATCTTCCTAGACGGAATGGCTGCAACGGAATCAAAAGCGGAAGCTAGAGAACAAGTAGAACCCCTCATGTGTAAGGTAAATCATTCATTATGCTGCCATTTGTTAAATCCTTTTCTTCTAATTAAAGTTAAATTCTTGAGTCTAAAGGTTCTTAATGTCTGACGGCTCTGTTTCTCAGACTTGCGTGTTGAAAGTCTCCATTCACTGCGAAGGATGCAAAAGGAAAGTCAAGAAAGTTCTCCAGAGTATTAACGGTGAGTTGATGACCCACAGATCATCTCCAAAATTGTTTTTTCCTTTTTGATTTCATATGTGTTCTTCTCGATTCTCATTTTGTTTTATTAGCATAACGATGCTTTTTATTTGCTTGTTCAAATCCTGCACTCGCTGCTTCTTCATGCAGTACACTTTCTGATTGTCCTTGAAATATTCACTGGTTAGTTGTTTAAAATCTGTTCACTTTCAGCGGACATCAGAGTCATGAGTTTTATATGTCTCTGCGTATGATTTTCGGCCCGTGCTTCTATAACAATATTGTTAGCTCTGAGCTCCTGAATCCTGATGAGTTTTCTATTCCTTGCTTGCAAGATAGATCTCATGTTTCATGACTTTTTCTTTTTCTCATGTGTTCCTTTTGCTATTTTGGGTCTTTGTGATGAGTGAGTATCGTCTTCTTTTAAATTTGAAGCTTGCTCCTAATATTATGTTCCTTCTGTCTGTAACTCAGGTGTTTATAACGTAGACATTGATCTGAGGCAACATAAAGTGGTGGTAACGGGGAACGTGGACAGCGAAACTTTGATCAAGAAATTGATAAAAACAGGGAAGCACGCGGAGTTGTGGCCAGAAAAAGCTGAATCAAAAAAGAAAAAGCAGCCCAAACCAGAGAAAAAAGAGAAACAGACCGACCCAGAAAGCACTGAAGAAAGCAACCAAGGCGGTGATACCGAAAAAGAAACTGTCAAAGGTGTAGTCCAAGACTCCGAAGGCGGCAACCCCAGTAAAGATAGCAATGAAGGACCACCAACTGGTAAAACCGGTGTCCAGTTCCAAGAACCAAGTCCGGAGGCGAAGCAAACAGGGATATCACCGGCCGGTAACCCTTCGCCGGCGGCCGAGAAAAAAGTTAGCATCGCTGTCCAGGTTGGCAGTGAAAATGAAGCAGCTCCAGGGAATGAAAAAAGCGGAGGAGGTAAAAAGAAGAAAAAGAAGGGGCATAAGGGGAATAACGCTGGCGAACACTCTGGTGGTGATGCCCCTGCAAGCACCGGATCGGCGAACCCATCACATGGCCAGGGTGATCAAGGCCATGATCCAGTTCCGGCTTCATTTCCAAATCCAGCAAATCAGAGCCCTCCACGCCATCCCATGTACCATCAGTATCCTCCCGGACCTCCACATTACTATTCACCACCGGTGTACACCGTGAGCCATCACACAGCGTATCCCAGCAGCAGCTACAGCACAGCGTATTATACGGCCCCACAGCCACATTCATACGCGCAGGTGCATTATCCCGGGATGGGGACAGAAACGGAGCCTCCACCGTACGATTCGGAAGCGTATACATCACATCCGTCCAATTCTTCATTCGAGTTCTTCAGCGACGAAAACCCAAATGCGTGCTCCGTCATGTGAGAGGCAGTGCGCGTGATGATTACACAGAAGGGACAATCTGGACTTTTCACGAAATTTCCTGCATACGCCTCGTATGGCTGTGGGAGTATTAATTCTTGTAATGCATATCGATGTAGATATCAAAGAGCGGTTCTAATTTTAAAATCGCAGTGTACTTTCAAGATAGAGAACAGTTTTATTCCATGCTTGTTTCCAACATGAAGAGGAATTTAAAAAAAAAAAAAGAAGGGAAGACTGGTGGAATAAAATGGGCATCTGTCCCTGGGTGTCCAGTTTTTGTTCAGCGGGTGCTCTAATTAAACACCGTAATTCTGACGTAGAAATATATATAATCACATGTGCTTCTCTATTTCACTTTGCTTTGTTTTGTCGATCACTGTGATTGTCATGATGTGCAAATTAGGCGAGAAGAAGGCTGTTGGGTATATATGCTTAAGGTGGGGCAAAGGCAAATAGGTGCAACGACAAGACATGAAGGCAGTGTGTCGTCTCGGCGTAGGCGATTGGAAAGAACGTAACATCACAAGTGAATTTTGGCCATTGAAATTGTAATAAACTTGAAACGTGTCATGGGTTGGAAGCTATGAGGCATGCGGCATTTGCTGGATCTTGGCTCGCTATCGAATATGGTTGGTTTGTGTGGAATTCAGGGCCCCTTAGATCAGCTTCACATTATGGACTTTCTGATGTTTAAACCAAGCACTGTACATGTTGACTGTGAAAGTGGGTTTTCCATGTCTAAACATTCACACCAATTATTGCTGAGGCTGCTTTCATCCAACAATGTGTCCATTTATTGTCTCTGCCTTCAATTTTCATTTAAAAAAAAAAAAACACAGCAACATGATTACTTAATTAGCATTCGCCTTAACTGAAAGGGTTGCTTTTCAAAAAGAACTGGCAGTTCTCTGCCTCTGCTTTTCTTTTTCTTTCCTCTTTCTGATTTTGCTATTGATTTGAATAGCCAGCTTGTTATTTTCAGCTAGCTGGCTTCTTGTGTGCAGCAGAGTTGGGTTAAGTAAGCTTTCTTTTAAAAAGCAATGATCTGTTGGCTTGTCACGAAAACCCCTTTTCTTTTCTTTAATGGAGCTTCTTTTTGGTATATTAATCTCACTACGATGCTGTATATGCTGATCCTAATCATGTTTCAAGGCTCGTGAGGTACATATAGGCTCTGATCTTCTTGCTGCTATCGTTAGTACTCTCTAGTTTGATTGCACTGTCCATAATATCGAGGGGCAAATGGCGAAATCATATACATGTACCAAATTTTGTTAATCACTTCGACGGGGAAGATAAACCAGATCGATGAGTATCTGTGAGGTTAAAGAAGAGAACAATGAATTAATAATGAGGACTGTATTAGATTGGTATTTGAATATCAGGAGAGAATATATCATTTTCTTTTAGGGTAATTTTCTATATGTAAGAATCATAGAGAGCCAAACAAGGCACCCATACCCAGCATGCTGGGACAACCCACCTCTTTAGTGGATCCAGCTTTTTTCAATTTCAATTTATGCACACAGTTGTCTTTAAATCTCTGTAAAGCTCTTTATGGCTTTGGTTCTCCTGTCAACCCCGGGAATATCTGACATTCCCTGGTTACTTTTAATTCATACGTAACTTTCACAAATATATTCCTATTCTTTCCTAAGGAGACCGGATTGGAGCAGATTATTGCTCAGCGTTGCTTGTAATGGTATTATAAGTATCTGAAAATTTTATACCTCACAGCGACAGATATCGTCAAAACTACAGTTTCTGGTTCTGCGCATATGGTGGTAGCTTGCACCGCTCAATCAATCAGCTCCTTTCTGTGCATCCCCAGATTGCATATTCTGACAAGGAATCTGGTTCCTTCAATCCAATCCACATTCTTATCCAGGCCTCGCCGTTTAAACTGAGAGGCCCTTTCCATTATTAACTCTTTTGACTTCAACTGCAAATTGTCAGCCCTTCATCTTTTGAGAGGGCAAGAAAAAGAAAGACGACAAGGGGCTCTATCTCAGCTTATCGTTTGCCACCGTGGAAAGTGACATGGGTTTCGATTTGTGGAAGGAATGAATGTGGCGACCCATATATATTCTGATGCATATAGACGAAGACGCTATGCATGTGGGGTTTGAGAAATTTAAAATCCTTAGTTTGTCTATAATTTTTTTTTTTGGCCAATCAGTTTTTTCTATAATTGCAACGGAGAAAATAAAACATCGATTACTTGTTACAGGGGAAACTTGAGAAGAAGATTAGAGTGTGAGAATCTATTCTGAATTAATGAGATGATGCCGCGTGGGTCATAAATAAAGAAAAGAACCTCTCCTTGTGATTGCTGCCATCGCGTATACTTCCACTTTCGCAGAATATTACAGTTGCCTTTAGAGCAACCGTCGTCTGGGTTTAACATGAAATAACCGCCGGAGTACTCATGGATGAGGACCGTACGATTTCGAATGGTGCTTTAATTTTTAATTTGATATCCATGTGTTTTTCTTCTTATTAAATCTTTTAATTTTACTCGTTTAGCAGCATTAATCTCTACGGTTTACTCTATTAGCATTGTTAAACCATGTACAAAAACCAATCGTGCTAATAAAGTGAAATTAAATGATTTAATAGAGAAAAATAACTCATAAGTACCAAATAAAAAATAAAAAATTATAGATAGTTGAAGAATGGTTTTTCCTTTAATTATATTAGACATTGTTTCCAAAGGCTGTCGTTCTAACTAGTTCGTGAAAATTCTGATCATACCTTCTATTTTGTGATAATTATTCTCTACCTAAACTGTTTAAAATATGCCTTTTTCTAATTTTTTTTTCCTCCATTACACACCTCCCAGCTGCTATATACAAACAATAATAAAACCAAATTTCACACTTTAGAAATCTAATTTATTTTCTTCTTTAATACCTTGTCATGCTAATTCTTATTGCCGAACCAGTTTGGGCACCCATACAAGCAAGTGCCCATAAAAAACCAGTTCCCTTATTACTTATCTTTCTATGCAAGTGCCTGTAGAACATGAGGAATAGGTTACTTTCTTCTAAACCAAATATATTTAGATATTTAACAATAATGATACTCCTCTTGTCCTTAATATAGGACCCAATTGTTGAGTTGGTTTTGGTTCTAAATATAAGACCTATTTCTCATATTTATCAATGTTCTCTAAATTACTCCTATAAATACTCCCTCAACCATAATCAAGTAGAATGGGGAGAGAGGGTATTAAGAAAGATGATTATGGTGTTTTAGGAAAAACATGTCACATTTCTTATAATTAACTAATTTACCTAACTTCCTTAATTTAATCAAATTAGTTAAATGGGTCTTATATTAAGGATCGGAGGAGTATAAATTATGACTCAAGCTGCAGTAATAGTTCTTGCTTTCTTTTCGCACATACTTCGCTCAGTTGAATGATTTTTAATATTATTTTATATCGTACAAAAAATAATGCCTTAAGATGAAAGTTTGTAACAAGTAAAGAAAATATCTATTGCATTCACGGCATATTCCCGACCGGATGAATCTATACTTGTTCCGGTCCATTAGGGTGCTGATCCTGGTATTGATGCGTTTCTATTGGCCGGCGACAGAGAGAAATCGGAGAAGGGAGTCACCGGTGATTCGAGTTCCAACGACTTCCTAATTCAAGCCGTAATATAATTCTTCCTTTCTGGAACGTTAACCAGGCGCAAATGAACGCGCGGTTCGAGTACCGTGCATTCCGACTTTCTAATTCATTTTTTCCGTTTCATGTTTCTGCCAACAATCTTCGTTTCAGTTCTCTACGTTCTGTTGATCGCTTCATCTTATAAAAACACTCGTCCTCTCATCTTAAGATGCTGTTGGTATTGATGGCCGCCATGCATCGTTTTGTGAAATTTAATAACGCAGATTTATTAGCTTCGGAGCAACTTCTCCATTCGAAATAACATCTCTAGTTTACTTTTTCCGCACTTATTATATATATACCACTTGTAATGTATAGCGTGCGTCTGAACCCGTGAGATGATCTGCCATTGGCCATTTCACTTCATCGGTTTGATGATATATTTAGCGTATATATATTGAACTATTTGTTCCGTTCTCAGGATGCCTATTACAAATGACCATCTATTGACTCTGAGCTTGTCTGATCCTAAAGCACAGAAGATTTTGGGATGCTACAGGCGATCAGTGTTTATCCCCGATTTATATGCATGACCTATGGTTCAATTTGATAGTTGAGAGGCAACGAATAGTTCTACCATCAACTACAACTTCCAGAGGATCAAATTCGCCCGAGTTAACTTGGTAGACAGCTCATTTACTCATCTTTCGTTTCGAGTTTGTCCAACTATACTCTGAGGTAGGTAACGGAACTGAAACTGCATATTTTCTGTTGGCACGACCCTCTTTTACTATTATGGTTGGCTAATTATTACAATAGTGTTTAGCTCAATTCGTCTGTAACATTAAATGCATGTAATAAGTTTTTCATACACTTTCTTTCTGATTAGTTTATTATCAGGCCTAATGACCAAATGTGACTTCAATTAATCCAAGCAATTTTCAATCTTGAAATCTTCACAACACAGACATTTCTTACTACCTCCTGTGTAAATATAACATCTAATTTGTGCAAACTAGATCTTAATATTTAGTACCGGAAGTAGTATTATATTCCTTGAAACTTTTCTGAGGCCTCAAGATAACTAAAGTTTACTGGCTGATGATTTAATTATTTTATCAAGAGAGCTCCGTCATCACAACAGAACTCCCTTTGAAGCTGCAAGTGAAATTGGCGCGAAGACTATTGTACTTGAGGTTTGGAAAGGAGAAATAATCCCACGGCATATGGCAAGTGTGCTCAGGCGAGTACATATCTGTTGTAGTCTCAATGTTTGGAAAACGTATGCTTATTGTCAGAAAACTATTGCGGGACATTTGTGCATGTTTAAGGATTATGAGGGTTTACTTGTGGAAGTCATGTTCGTGGTTTCGTCATTTAATTCGTTGGAACCTGCTTCTTCTAATTTTCTCGCAGTTTTCTTAGTCCCTAATCAAAAGTCTGATAACGTTGATCACATATCAACTACTAGTATTTCTGCTCCCTCGCCGCATTGTCTAGTTTCATTTTTTTGAGATTTTATTCTATGGTATCCCTGCCATGTTTCATCTCCTCCTTGCATCTTGGTCAGGCAAATGAAAGGTCGCCCTAAGCAGACTTTATTATGAGATCACGTGCAAAAGCCTTTGTCTGAATATCTCACGGCTGAGTTTGCAACTTTTAATATAGCTGGTGTCGTTAATAGCTGACAGAAGTTTCTCCAAGCATGGGGATTGGGGAGTAAATATGTGATCAACGTTTTATTTATGCCTTTACTGACACACGCACATGTATCAAATCAATTGATGCACAAGAGCGTCGAGGTAGTTAACTGGGCAAGTGGATATGAGCTCATTTTGAACTAATAACTGTTGTGTGCGTTCTTTTTGTGCCCACATGGTGAGAGATGATTCCCAAGGGCCATCGAGTCAAAGGAGATCCAAACATCACCCCAGTACAGAGCAGATGCTGGAGAGGGGATGATAAGAGTGAAAAGTGGATTCAATCCGCACTGTGACGCTGCGTTTAAAGAACAGAAACACGAAACGCATCTGATCTGACATAATGGCTGTCTTTTTCCCTGGTAAGTAGCGAGTACTTGTCTCACTTCTTGTGACGTGCTCTGTCTCTCCAACCTCTTCTATACGACTCATACGAGACAGTAACCCAGCACCGACTACTCATAATGACTGTATTATTATTATTATTGGCTGTCATGGGAATTTTGCTACTATTACCTCCAGCTCCAGATAACTGTTTTTAGTAATACAACACTAATGCACTATTTTGCAGAAATCAAGACATCAACCAACAGTAATTAAGCGCGGATTCACTTGTCAGTTCATTTCTCAGAACGAGACTTGCTGCCAGATTACCTCTGATTTATGAGAAATTTTGAATCAACAGGACTCTTTCAGTGGTCGGTTTCATATTTTAGAAAGTCGTAGTAGAGATTTGACTCCTCCCCATCTTTTGTCGTCCCAAATCAGGTTTCTTTTCTTAGTTATTTCACTAACATCGTTATTTTCTTGAAAAAAAAAAAATAATCAGTGGCTTGCCAGCCGAAGCAATAAGGGAGTGAGCTCCATGGACGTCTAGAAGAGGTATTTCTTGTCTTGTGTGTCTTCTCGTATCGGACATATGATGTCGGTTCTGTTCACATTTCACATTCAATGTTGCGCTTAAGTGGATTAGAGAATCGATAATGGACCGTTGAGGTAGAGCCGTAGAGGGATGATCGTTGTGCGGTGCCATGTCGGGTTCAGCACCCACACTACCTATTTTTAATTTTTTCAAGATGATTGGGTCTTGGAGTCGTCGTTTTATTTTAAGAGATGTTGCCTCTCTGGGATTTTAATCTGATTTTGATTATTTTTATTTCATTTCATCTTTCGTTAATGCCAATTAATTAATTAAAAATGAGAGTGAGCTATAAAATTAAGAATATATATAAATAGAAAATTAAGACTATTTTAACCAAATATCATTGCATTTTACTATAATCTACGTTACTATCAAATAACGTGTGCATGTGACTTTAACTCATTGTTAATGATTCGGAAATCAAATGGATAAAAGAAAATTAAAAATCACATTATTTATTTATAACTAACAGGTGGTGATATCCAAAAGTCAACGATTTATATTTACGGTCAAGTCTGTTTTGAATAAACAAATAAATCTTATTTAAGTATAATAAACTTACTAAGTACCCCCTACATTTTTTTGTAAAAGAATTTTGAGAATTTTTTCATATTTAGAAATAAGTAGTATTTACACTTTATCTACAGTATTTATCAAAACTCTTCAAAGAATGAGTGCAGTTTTTCATTAATTAGTTAATCTCTTAAAATTACTACTCCCTCAGTTTCTTATTATAAGAGACGAATAACCGAATTACGTTGATAAAAAAAAAGTTAAAATTAGTTAAGAACAATTAATGTGTAAAAAGTGTAATTTTTTTTCTAAAAATGCCCTCATTAATAAGGAGAGAGAACATGAGAGAGAATAATTAAATTATTAAAAGAAAGAGAAGTGGGAGGGGGAGAGAGTGTGAATTGGAGACAAAATAAATATGGGTAAAATAGGAAATCAACACAAAAAAGTAGAGACAACTTTTAAGTGTCTCTTATATATAGGAACATGCCATAAGTATCAAATTCTCTTATAATAAGGAACGGAGGGAGTATTAAATAAGTGAGGGTATTTTTAAAAATAAAATTATATCTATGACATATTTACAACTTGTCACTAATTTTACTTAATTTCTCTAGTCTTGGCAAATTAAGTATTTGTTTGTTATGAAAAGGGATGAGGAATTTTTTTTTTCCCGAGGGAACGGGGGAAGTATTCTTTCTCTTATTGGATCAAATAATATTCAAAAAGAAAAATATAATATTATGTGCACATGATTGAAGAAGTAAAAAGTAAAATTAGAAAAAATGGAAGGCAAAAACGGGGAAGTATTCAATAAGCCAGGATGGTTCATTGTTTGTTTTTCTAGGCAAGAAAGAAAAGTCCGTTATTTTTATGTCAGACAGGTGGCAACCGGAGGGTGATTTCGACTTGCCAGATCCCGCCCTTGTACTCTCTCCGGCCGTCGACCGCTTTCGCCCAGGTTTGGTTTCCTCAGGACACCAACCCGCCTCTTCATCTCTCCAGCCGTGAAAGTACAGTGTTTTTTCGTCGTCCTTCTGCCGGGCCTTGTTCATTTTTGGTCCAGACGCTTATATTCACCAAATAATTAAAATAATCATATAATAATGCAACATGCATTTTCTTTAAAAAGAAATAGAGGGTCAAAAAAAGACATTGGCTTGAAGCATATTAGGTAAGGGGAGATGGAATATTGACTAGGCACTCCAAACAGCTCACATTTAAAATAATGAAATCTGAGGTTGGAAGCAAATAATAAGAAGAAAACGTGTTTTAGTTATCAGAAGAATCTGGGAACATAGCATTGCACCCAAAAGGGAAAAAAATTCTCAACACCGTCTCGCCTCTTTTATTTTTTTAAAGAAAACTGAAATTACTAATCTGCATCCTTTTCCATTCAAAACTACGATGTTGCCCTTAACTGACATTGAGAGTTGGCTAGGAGATAATGAATTTTTAAATACAAAACATCAATTTATTTTATCTTTTATATTTATCATATTTTTAAAATAATTTATTTTTACTTATAAATTGGTATATAGAGATATTTCTGAGAAATTAAGTTATATTTGTTATAAATTAACTAATTTATCAATATCTTCTTATATTTAAATTAGTCAAATATAATTCTTATATTTGAGGTTGTATCGCACTATTTAGAAAGCACAATATTTGCAAATACTAAAAAAATATTACCTGTTCTAGACCCGTCCTAATTTCTCTCTGGCAGCTCTCTCTTCTTATTTGTATAACTATATGTTTCAATAAAATTTGAGAAGGGGATTGCATTTATTCATCTTCAAGAGCTGCTCTCTTTTAAAATTTTATCAAACTTTACATGCCTGTAGCAGATGAATTTACATTATTAATTTTTCATTGATAAAACTTAATATATAAGCATTTTAAAATTGTATTAGTGCCACTTGACAGCCTTTGTTATTAAAATAAAAATAATATCAGAACAATAAAATTAAAAATAGGACACCCTTAATTGAAAGTCTGGCATTCTCTGGTTCATCTAATAATAAAATGGAAGTTTAGGTTCTTGCCAAGCTAAATCAAAGTTTAGGTATAACAAATAATCACTGCAGATTCAATGAGTTTAATTTTTTTCCCCTTTCATTGTCAACGCCTCTAGAAACACTAAAATGAGATTCGCACCTACCCTAAAAAATGTCTTTAAAATTTTTAGTTGACTTTATTATTTTGCGCATTTCCTTTTAATAGGCCATGAAGTTACTTGCACGAATGAATATAGTTTAATTATTTATTGTTTATGGATGTGAAACCCCGTTGTTATCCAGGAACTGAGCTGTGGCCCGTTCAAAGCCGTCAAGGAGAGCCGTTTCTTCCCGCTTTCGTATATGCAAGTTGATGATTACAAAAAGAAGAGGGTGACTTGACCCTTTGGCCTTCTCTCCCATGCTTAAGTGTGGAAACGGTCAACACATATGTAAAATAGCCTCGTTACTTATACCAATCAAGTTGAACGAGAAGAATCAAATCAATAGAGACAGGTCAATGTCTTGATATTACGCACGATCCACTATTTTCACGAAACTACTCAAAAAAAAAAAAAACGAAATCCGTATTACTATATTTGCATGTTCTCCTTAATCTTCAACTATCAAACCTAAAATGTTTTAATAAAATTATAGTTACTCAATACATATTAATTATTAAATACTAGTCTAATACGCTGGCAAAAAAAATTTGTCTAATATTCATAATCATCCAATGCAAAAACGAGAAACAAGAGCAAGGCTCCAAAAGGATAAAATCAAAACAAAAAATTAAAAATTCAAAAAGAAGGGCGGGACGGACTGTCAGTTTTTTGTTTTTTTTTTTTAAACGGAAAAATGATTGAGGAGATGGCATATATGTAAATAAGTAGGATTTGAGTGTCGTTGTTGAGATTGGGGTCTTTTATAGTTCCAAGTGGTTCCTTGCGCTCGCCACTGCTCTGTTCATTGGGAAGACCCAAAGCCACACGCAGAAGGCCAGATTCAGAAAAAAAAACTACACGGAAATACACACCGGCTCCTTCGATAGTCCATTCCAGAAACAGAGCATCATCTTCTGAAAGATGGCCAACCCTCATTCCGTTGCTTTCCTTGTCATTTGTTCCGTCGTACTAGTGATCAGTTCATCGGCCGTCGTCAACGCCGGAGGCGACCGCCATCACCACCTGGGGCTAGGGCTGGTTCGCACTAAGTCGAGCTGTGAGGGTTCAATTGCAGAGTGCCTGAATGGAGAGGAGTTTGACTTGGACTCGGAGACCAACCGCCGCATCTTGGCCACGTCGCAGTACATCAGCTACGGAGCTTTGCAGAGGAACACCGTGCCCTGCTCTCGCCGTGGCGCCTCCTACTACAACTGCCGACCCGGTGCTCAGGCTAACCCTTACAGTCGTGGCTGCAGCGCCATTACAAGGTGCAGGAGCTAGAATTTTGCTGCTATAAAAATTCCCCTCCTGTATTTATTTACTGTTTATTTTTCAAGCTGATTTGATTGCTATATACTTGTATTAATCATACCCCCGGGACCGAGCATATGCAATTTCGAGTTGATGGACTTGTCGGTCACAGTTGTGTTGATTGATAATAATACATGCCGTTATACTGGTACCCCTGCGTTTTGGACGTTTCTGAGGCGAGGAGGGCACCGGCAGTGTCCTTCTATTGGTGTTTGGAAACAGTGATTCGTCACAGATTCCTGTTTGGGCAATATTTTGAATTTGGGCAACACCGCGCATCATGCGAGTCCTCTTTTTTCTTTTTGGGCTATTTTTTGATTTTTGATTGTTGAATCCCTAGTACCGATTGTTTGTTAATGATTTTAGCACCTGTCTTTTTTCCCTTAACATTCTTTGTTCCATGCTATAATGTCTATAACCTTGTCTTTTAAATTCGTTGTGTTCTGGGCAATTTTGTGAATGGGGCTTGCTTTACCTGCTAGCATAAGGCATCATGTGTTAACTTTTTCATTTTTTCCCCCCTCCATAAAGAGAGGAAAAGAGCTCGGCCCGGCCAAAAAAAAAAAAGGGAAAAGAGAGAGCTTTTACTTTGACGGAATGAAAGAAAGAAGCGATTGAATCATATTGAAGTAATAAATCTCTGGCAGGGGTAAAGTGATATATTCATCATTCATTCAATCTCGACTTAAAAATAGGGATATCAGCCATAAAATAATGAGGTGGGGTTAGGTCGTGATTCGTGAAACATGTTAAGCGAATTTAATAATGGAAAATGGAAGGGAAAGCTGCCGGCAAGAGGGAGTAGAAGAGTGGTTAGAGTCATTAATCATGTACCTTTCCTATGTTATTTTAGTTGGTTGGGTTGTTTAGTGATGGGTTTTGTGACCAAATCAAAAGCTAAGAGTGGTCCCACTACCATACAACGAGTCATGGCGAGAAGGCCCCACCCACCAACCTCGTCCAGCATATTTCAAAGAAGCACACCGTAAGCTTTTCATCCTCTTTCTCACCCCTCACCGTCGAATAGTTGAGATTCTGAGTGTAGTTCATGCGTGCGGATTTTGGCATTCAAAGCCAATTGGTGAACCTGAAAACGCTGAGTTGGTCACGCAGAAATTGCTAAAAACCCAGTCTTGTCCCCGGTCATCGAGATCAAATAAGATTTTGAGGGTATATCATTTCCTCATGTGTCGTATGATAATTTTTTTTCCCCTTCAGATTGGACGTATGATGATAATAGTGACAAGAGTACTGTTTTAACTTGATCCAAAATGATAAACCCAACTTAATAACACATAAAGTATTTAATATTTATTTTTCTATTTTCCCTTTCGTACAGATAAATTTCACAAGTTAACTTTTGTCAGAGGCATATTCAGACTGCTTTAAAATTCCTTACATGTTTAATGTTTTGATTATTTTTTAACTAGTATTTTTGGTCCGTGTGAGCCGGTTAAGTCAGACATATCATGAACTAAAGGATCACATATATACATGAAAATTCCCTTAGTGTGTGTCTTTTTTTTAAATTTAAATATCAAGATATAAATAAATTGAGTTTTGAAATCTCATTCAAACCGGGAAAAATTTTGTGGATGAACTTATACAACAAGTGAGTCATCAGCGAAAACACATAGATTAGGGCACGCAGCCCGTGGCACTTGACATTTATGGATGACAAATTCATAGCGAGGTTCTATCTGGATCAACGATAGATGAAGTTGATTTTGGATATTTAATTTTTAAAAAGTATTTGAGTAGAAACAAAACTATAGTTTTGATTTTAAAGTATAAAAAATATGTATGTAAAAAAAAATTTCTTTTGGTCTACGTGAAAAGATTTTTTAAAAGTGTTTTTTTGAAGAAGCCAAGCACGCCGGAATAGATTTTGAGCAGCGGTTGGTAGGTTGGTATCAATGGCTCATGGCAAAATTATGGTTTTGGATTAAAAATATACTTTTGACATGATTAGGTGTGTTTGAGTAATTTTTTTTCCCAAAGAATGAAGATTTTGTGAGCAATAGTTGATTTCAATATTGCCGCTCGTGGTGTGGACAGGGAAATAATCGTCCATGGATTGAAACAGAAAGAGTCCAGCTTCTTAGACATATTGAGCCTAGGGCCTCATCGGACGCACCACAGCCCAAAAACTTAGAGCGAAAACCTAGATGCTTAGCGCATTGGATTATTTACTTAAGCTGGAAGTATGCAAACGAAGAAAAAACCACATGAGCAGTCAATGACTTGATGATGACGGTCTGTTTCCCATGGAAAGCTAATAGCTACGCCCACACAACACAATTCTTAATTCCTAAATATGCATACAGGCATGCATACAACACCTCGCATTCCTTCAGGTCAAAAATAAAAAGGAAAAAACATCTCGCTTTCCCACCACAGCCATTCGTTCTCACCGCGGTTTTCCACCTGCTTCTGGAAGCTTCTTTCGTTGTTCCTCTATTCTCTCCCTTGCTATTTAATCAATCCATTTTTCTCCAACCCTCACCATTCGGTGCTCTCATTCCAAGGGAAAAACAAAATATTAAAGATTCCTCTTCACCTCCTCCCTGAACTCTCCGGATCAAAACTCTTCTGCGACCATGGCCGATGAAAATCCCCAATCCCAGCAACATCTAGTAAGCTCCGCTATAAAATTGTCGAGTTTTCCTCTATTATTTCTTTTATGCAATTAAACATAGCCCTCCTCTTCTAGTTTGGGGCTTTTGATTCAACCGTTTATTTTCTGATTTTTCTTTATCAATAGCCGTACTGATTGCTGACAATCTTTTTATCTATCAAACTTCTGTGAGTAACCAAAGGCTCCGTCGCGCGAGATTTCATCTATTTTCTTTCATTCTGAATTTCCCCTCTCAAATCGCACCCCAATTAGGGTTTTTACTTTATTTTACACGTTATGATTTTGATTCGTAACATATTCAATTTATACGGTTTCTTGAATGTGGTGATAGGCTACCCGGGAAAATGAACGAGGGCTCATGTACCTGGGATTCGTGCAAGTGGCTGCTATTCAGGCCCTTATGAGCTTCTCCATCCTCTATGCCTATGCTAGGGAACATGCTGGCCCCCTCAAGCCCGGCGTCGAGAGCGTAGAGGGAACCGTCAAAAGCGTGGTTCGACCTGTGTACGATAAATTTCGTGACGTCCCTGTCGAAGTCCTCAAATACGTTGATCGTAAGGTCAGGGTCGAATGGAGAAATTTGCAATTTTGTCCTCCCTTCATTGTGTTACGCTAAAGCTTAAAGAAAAAAAAGAAAGGAATTACCCTATCAGATTTGATTTGCTATTACAGTTTAATTGAAAATCAAAAGGCGAAAGACGCATCTGTTGTTATGTTTGCCTGCTGATTGAAGCTCTTGAGATTTATGCTGTGCGTGATTTTTCCGCAGGTGGGAGAATCTTTGACTGAGCTGGATCGCCGCGTGCCTACTAACATCAAGAAGGCATCGGCCCAAGTCTTGACAGTGGCTCAAAAGGTTCCGGAGGCGGCTCGAACCTTGGTTTCTGAAGTCAGACGAGCTGGCGTGGTAGATACTGCGTCGGGTTTGGCTAAGTCGGTTTACTTCAAGTACGAGCCTACAGCCGAGGAGCTGTATGCAAAGTATGAGCCGAAGGCTGAGCAGTGCGCTGTGTCGGCATGGCAGAAGTTGAACAAGCTGCCGTTGTTCCCGCAAGTTGCTAATGTTGTTATTCCACCGGCAGCCTTCTGTACGGACAAGTATAACGAGACTGTTGTTTATGCCGCTCAGAAGGGTTATAGAGTTTCGGCCTACCTGCCATTGGTGCCTACAGAGAAGATTGCAAGGATATTCGGTGAAAACAGAGCATGATATTTCTTTGGTGGTTGTTATCTTTGAAAAAATGTGAGGGATTGTGTATGCTTTAGTAGCTGTGTTTTCCGTGGTTTCTTTCTGCTGTGTACCGTTTAAGTTGTTAAACCGGGATGCAGCTATTTTGTTTCCCGGTTCTGCTGTAAAGAGTGTTTAGGTGAATAGGTTGTGACTGGTGGCTTAACAACAGCGTGATGGTTGAGTTGATATGGCTAATCTCTTCTCCCGTGTTGCGATGCTTTCAGTTAAAGACCAAATGTGGTTACAAAAAATTTTAGCCAAACAAAAAGATCACATTTTCAGCCAGCTGATAGCTCTCAAGCTAAGATTTGGATCATCTCAACAAGTTGTAGGGTGGTTGAATTTGAGACTGCAAGGCGGTCTCCGTCCAACGAGAGTTGGCCCTGTTTTCATGTTATGCCTCAGTGAACAACATAGGTAATATAATTTTTAATATAATTTTAATTATTTATTAAAAATTAAAAAAATACTAAAAGATACTAAAAATATATTTATTATACATGATAAATAAGTAAGTGTATTTAATAAATGAAAAATATGTAATTTAAAAATTATAGAAGTCTAAAATGCTCTGGACCTAATTATTTGTAAAATGCTTGGGCAATATTCTCCTCCTTATCTTAAGTTGAAAGTATTACGGGTAACAAATAATTACTTAAAATTAGATAAAGTAAAAAATATGTTAGAAAAAAATATTTTAGAAATATATTTTTATTTATAAATTTTTTTAAGAAATGAGAAAAAAATGAAAAATATAGAAATATGTGATAAGAAAATATGTAAATAATAAATAGTTATGGATAAAATTGAAAAAATGCATTAAATATTAAAACAAATTCAAATTGATGCTTATAAAATAGAGCACATTTCTTCTTAAATTTGAAGTTTATGAGTAAGATAAGAGGGAGTAGTACTTCCGATCTTTAATGTATAATCTAATTATTGTTAATTTAAATTTATTGTTATTACAATTTTCAATCATATTATATTTCTAGTTGTATTTTTCCAGTCTTTAACATATGACCTAATGTAAAACTTATTATATATATTTATTTTTTAAATTAATAATCAAGTAGGAATGGGGAAGGAATTAAGAAAGATGCTTAGAATTTTTTAAAAAGAACATATTAACTAATTTAACTAATATTTTTAATATACTTAAATTAGTTAATTAGGTTATAGATAATTAATACTAAATATAATAATATAAAAATATTCCTTTCTAACTTTATTATCATCGTAGTATCTTATTAGAAGTAATCATATTCGAGATATTATCAGGTACTAAATGTGAACAATTTTTCAAATAGAAATTTAAATTTTAGTTTACTATGTTGTAAAGAACTAGTATCTTCTATTAGGCTTAATTTCTGCTAGTGTATTCCATGTTTGCTTCTGAGTACGTTCATTATACGTAAGGCATCACATTCAAAATCCGATCGGCCCAAACCAGACCAACCCGACCCAGAAAGGACCAGCACGGAAGGGAGAAAGATTCTGTTGAAATAGATATTAAAATTAAAAAAAATAATAATAAACACAGCAGGGTCGCTTGTAATCCTCCAGCCTCCCATCCCTGGTTCGGCTTCAACCCATTTCATTCAAGAGGATTCCAGAATTAGCAGGGACACAATTATAATCACAAAGCATGTCCACGTATGTGTGGGCGCCAATGGCCACTTCCATGCCGACTTCGTCTTCCTCCTCTCAATTGCCCGTGAGGAGAAATTCTAGGACCTGTTGCTTCATGAATGCCAGAAATCAGGCTAGAATTCCTATGCCCCCTATCAACCCTAAAGATCCCTTTCTCTCGAAGCTTGCTTCTGTGGCTGCCACTTCTCCGGAAACGCTGCTTAACCGTCCCGTGAATTCTGAAACCCCTCCTTATTTGGACATATTTGAGTCCCCGAAGCTCATGGCTACTCCCGCCCAAGTAATATCTCTTTCGCTTACTATCCAGTCACAAGTGTAAAGTCTGTGGTCAATTCGGTGTTCTGGTAAATGGTCGTGTTCAAAATTCGCTCTTGAAGAGATGTTAATATCTGCTGACACATAAAAGCCAGAGTATCACACCCTAAATGGGGATATAGTGTTGACAGAATTTGGTTAGAGACTAGGATGATTATGTAACATGTATGGCAACCTTTTAGGAAGCAGTGTTGATCAACTATGAGTTCTATAGTCTCTTAGTCTGTTTGTGACGACTTTCTTCTAGTATTCGCATTGGTTATGCTTATTCGTTCAAGTAACGCTATTGTCTACTTGTAATAGGTGGAGAGATCGGTTTCATACAATGAACACCGTCCCAGAAGGCCTCCACCTGATTTGCCTTCACTGCTTCTTCATGGCAGAATTGTTTATATTGGCATGCCTGTGAGTACCAAATTATGCTTCCGATTCCATATGCATTTGTTCTTTCGGTTTTATCATTTGCTGTTACATGTGTTACTCTTTATTATAAAATTAATCGAAAATTTCATTCCCCTACTATCCGTGAGAAAAATCTGAGTGAAAAGCTTTAGCTTTTAGTCATGGAAGGGTAACCAAATTATTGCAATAGTGGTTATTGATGTACTATAATGTTATTTGTGAATTAAGTTGAATATTTTGTAACATTTTGAGCCTCGGATTGATCGAACGAGATAGTGAAGAGAATATTTTACATGTTGAGGATTTTGTGAACACTAACAAAGTAGTTAATCCACCTATTTATGCCTTCTCTTACATTTCCATCTTTTGTTTAGCGTATGTTAATCCCCAGCCACAGTTTCTATTGCCTGCATTCCGCTGCTACTTGCTTATGATAACAGTATTTTACCACAGTAATTTTTCTGATTCATTATAACTCTGCCTTTCAGTTGGTGCCAGCCGTCACAGAACTCGTTGTTGCAGAGTTGATGTACCTTCAGTGGATGGATCCCAAAGAACCTATATATATTTATATTAATTCAACTGGAACTACTCGTGATGATGGTGAAACGGTAAGCGTTGCACTCATTTCCAACTTCTACATGATGTGAAATATTCACGGTATTGACGTGTCGTCCATGTTGTTTATGCACCAATAATTTAAGATAATCTATTGTGCTGCCTTCCTCTGTGTCTAATGTATTGTGGATATTTGCATTCAGGTAGGGATGGAGACAGAAGGTTTCGCCATTTATGATGCAATGATGCAGTTAAAAAATGAGGTTTGTTTCTCTCCGTTCAATATAAATTCTGCGTTCATATATATGAATATATATTGTATATCTGTTTTGTTTTTAAGTTTTGTCGGAAATAATATATAATGTGAAATGGAAGTGGGCTGCTATAGAAATCTAAACTTATGAAGGTTGATGCATCTATTTGTGTTAATTATGCTATGGAATCTGTTGATGCTGTGTTCTCTTCATGATTTGTGTTATTGGTAGCTTAGTGGCTGTTTCTAGTGCTTACAAGTCAACCTTGCATTCATTCGTCTGATGTTGCATTCGTTTTTATGTATCAATGACCTGGCATTTCAGGTGATGACTTAAGGAAGTCACATTAAAACAAGGCTGAATGGAAATAATGTGCAATGCTTCTGCTTTGAATAGCGATGCCTTTTTACTCTTCCATAATGCATTAGCTATCAGTTCCCACATCAGTTTTTCTACCTATGCAGATTCACACAGTGGCAGTTGGAGCAGCTATAGGTCAAGCCTGTCTGCTGCTTGCTGCAGGGACCAAGAGTAAACGATTTATGATGCCGCATTCCAAAGGTATGGTTGGGACCCTGTGGTTAGATTAAGTTTGCTACTCCAGGACTTCAATCCTATAGAGATGTGAAACTGTTCTATTGATTTCTATTACAGCCATGATTCAGCAGCCTCGTGTTCCATCATCTGGTTTAATGCCTGCCAGTGATGTTCTTATTCGTGCACAGGAGGTTGGTCAAATTTGTTATTTTCTGCGGACCATTTAACACCGTGGGGAATGATCATCTTACTTGGTGTTAATAGTTTTCCATATCAATGCTGTTTGGATGTTGCCAAGTAATGTTTTCCTAACATCCGAAGAATCCCTACTTACGTTGTTGAAACCTTTGTTTATTTTCAAATATTTTCCAGGTGATAATAAACAGGGATACTCTTGTCAAACTACTCGCAAAACATACTGGAAATGTGAGTAACCATTCGTAGATTGTCTGTGGATGTCATATTTATTTGTGAAAGGTAAGGCAGGATCTAACGATTCCTTGCTTGACTTGCTTTTCTTATCATTAGTCGGAGGAGAGAGTAGCTAATGTGATGAAGAGACCATATTATATGGATTCCACAAAGGCGAAGGAATTTGGCGTCGTTGACAAAGTAAGTGCTATTTAATGGTAATATCAGGTCTAACCTCTGTTCGCATCCCCAACCATGCATGAGGTTCACCAAACTAATGATGCTGGAATACTATTTCCTTAGATTCTTTGGCGAGGTCAGGAGAAGGTGATGGCAGATGTTGCTCCTCCCGAGGAATGGGACAAGGGTGCTGGTATCAAAGTTGTAGATGGATTTTAGTTACTCTCGATTGGGTATCTGTTCACTGTAAGTGAACTCATCCTTTCAAATCGTGACACTTGTTCTTGTTTTTGCTTAGTGTAGAATCAATTGTTGCTTATTCACAATGGTGCGGCTGCTTTGTCTTGTCTTTTTATTTTGGGTATGGATGTTGCCATATGCCGTTTTGGCTTTGCCAAACATGCATTTTGAATTTTTGATATTGACCCAAAAAAAGGACGCTTCGATTATTTTTTCCCCATGAAACAATTTATCTTATGGTAAGTTAATTAGGCTATTTCTGTAGACATATTTTAAAAGCCATGATTTTGCTCGACTTAACAAGAGATGTTGGAAAGGGTCTAGATATGCTGATACTTTTGCGTCCTTTCCTTCCCCGCCTAATGGATGCCTGGGAATGAACTTAACGGCAATGCTCATGAAAGCTGGCACCGCTCTTTATTTCCTAATTGTTCTGCTTTCTTTCTTTTTATTTGGGGGATAGCTGAGAATGTTTCTTTTGCAGATATAAATGATGATATGGTTATGGTCGTTGCCTGAAAGATGAACTGAACATGCTGTAAGAGTGCTTTCTAGGATGATTGAGACCAAGTTATAGGCAAAGTAGATGAAACATGAGCTACAGGAATGGCCATGCAAAGGAAACAAGCTTGTGCTGTGTTGGGATCGTCATTCAACTAATTTCCAATCCAGATACATGAATAATTATATTTTTTTTATATGGTTCGTAAGTTAGTAGCCATGTTCAAGCAGCAACTTTTTTGCACTCAGAATACGAATTTCTTGACTTGACTGGTGCTACTGGCGTCCTCTTGTATTCTGGTTCCGGCTATCGTCATTGATTTCGTGCAATCCTTCCCTCCACAACCTGTGAGGTTGCTCTATGAATTGATCACTTTGATCATAACAAGTTTGTTTTTGGTCAGTTTAAGTCATTTAATAATGTACTACGAGATCCTCTAGTTTCAATTTTTGGTAATTCAAAATTCTTAGCTGCACCCCTTACTTTTGAGAGGCTTAGCATTTGATTAGTTGAGTGCGGCTCTAGCTTAGAGAGGTTAAAATTGTCTGGAGTGTATAGAAAGTCGCACATCTAATGGTTATAAAGTAAATTAAGGAAACGGTAGAGGTGAAATGAGAGGGAGGGAGAGCTGGAGTGGGGAGAAGGTAAAGGCAGAAGAGAGAAGTAAAGGTTATACTTGAGGGTTCAGTAATGGATAAGTTTCACGTATACAGTATACATGGTAACTGAAAATATAAATAAAAATTAAAAAATCCTGTGCTCGCCAAAAATCAGTTCAAGCACAGGGGGTTGATGTTTATAAGAAGCTTATAGCCCAAAATCATTTAAGAATTAGGCGCAATAGGTGCTGAAAGATGATGATAGTCTTCGTAGTGATATATGTAATGAAATTTGATCCTCTATACGTGAATTTATTGAATAATGATTTCCCCCAGGGATCAATGGCCCATTGAAAGTCGTGGTATAGTTTGCAAGTCAAGAGCGCATGGTTCCTTCTTTTTTTCATGGAGAAGTGAGGGAGAAATTGTGCCGGCTGATCATCCCCACCAAAGAGGATTATATGAAAATTACAAACATCTTGTTATATATAAAATAATTTCAGAGGAAGTGGCTTTTAGCCTTACTATTTTTTTCACAGAACAATTAACAATTAATACTCTATTTTGTCTTTATCATAAATTTTAAATGACTAATTCACGGATAATAAATAATTAATTAAAAATAATAAATATATTAGAAGTATATTTTTATTTTTAAAAATGCTCTTATAATAAATTAAAAACTGATGGAAAAAATGTGTAGGAAAATGTGATAAGAAAAAATAATTAAAGATAATATTAAAAAATATATTAAATATTAAGATAAATTAAAATTAAAATTTATAAGATAAGTCATATGTTCCTCAAGTACGAAAATAATAAAAAGAATATAATATAATAATTCAATTATCATCGGCACCGGCAGTCGGATTGGGGTAGAACCAGTCAATCGTGGACCGATGTTTTCACCCGTTGAGTATCCGGTTTCCGCTTTCCGGTACCGCCTTCCTTCTTACAACAACTCGAGGATGATGTGGCAACAAACAAACATAAGTGCGGGCCATCTTTATCTCACATGTGGTCATTGTGGAGCAGCCTTGTGGGCCCGAGTAAGTAGGGTTGAAACTGAACACCCTAATCCAAGAAAACCTGGGCTCCAATTCCTGAGAAGCGCGCATAATGCGCACAGAGGCTGAGGCAGCGACTCACACCGACTTCCTTGCGGACGTTGGAAAACGTTCCCTCTCAATTTGCTATCGGCACTTGCGCTTCGCTGTCCCTCTTCTCACAATCTCACTCCAAGGTCCTTTCTAGTATCCCAGTGACATTTTGAATCTTCAGAATTCCCTCTCCCTTTCATCGATTCTGCATCGATGCCGCGTTTTGATCGTGGAGATCTCTGGAAGAACAAGGCTCGCTCTCTGCAACTGCAGCTCCGGAACCGTTTCAGAGTTGCCGTCGATCGCCATTGGCGGCGCCAGCCGACGTTTATCCCTGAAGGTTATTTCTCCTGCACTATGCAGCGCTGGCTTCGCCGTTTTCGTGATTTTCGTCAGGAATCTTTGCCTTCTTCCTCTTTCTATCGAAAAAAAGGTGCTCATTCTTCCTTTCTTGTTTCTCGTAGCTGATTTTCCCTCACATTTTTTTCCAATCAGCTTCTTTAATTGGGATCGATCAAGTCTTGGTTATGTTCGATTCGTGCATTTGTCACTTTTGAGTATTCTACTATTCTTGGCTCGACGTTATCAATCTCCTTTATATGCCTTTCCTCGCAGTTTTTGAGCTCCTACCTGGTTATTCCTACTGCGCGTTGTTTGGCCTTCAATTTTGTTCGTATGATTCTGAAATCAATGTTTTTGGATGATTAGATGTCCGCTTTCCCCTTCTTTTCTTGCATATGTTCCGTTCAATTTCTCAAATGCATTGCAATTTGTGACGGTTCGTTAGTTGTATTGTTTGTATTTATCATTTTCTGAATTTTTTTCCCCAGTGAGTAAGGACTTCAGTTCTGAAGAGTCGGCTCTACTTCGAGTGCTGCAAGCTGTAGCTGTTCCTGTGCTTGGAAATGTGTGCCATGTGTTTATGAACGGGTTAAACCGTGTCCAGGTATGTGAAATTGTGAATTTCTTTGGTCTTGAGCTAGGTTGCAAACTTTTTTTGTTTCTTCCTGCTATCTTTTTTCGTCGTAGAGTGCTTAATTTCGCTGCTGTGTCACAACAGGTGTACGGTTTAGAAAAGTTGCACGAACCTTTGCTTCATAGACCCAAAGACAAGCCTCTTCTTACGGTATGCTCCGAGGCCTAGGAGCATGTCTTATAAACAGTATAGTTTGATTAGCTTAGTCTTCGTTATCTTTGAGAAAGTGATCTCTGTAATTAATTTCTTTATGGTTCCAGTTGTATTGCATACGCCATAGTACATATCATATTGATGCTGGCTCGCTCTTTTATAACTCCTGTTCAGGTTAGCAATCATGTGGCTTCCATGGATGATCCTCTTGTTATTGCTTCACTGCTTCCCCCTCATGTTCTGTTGGATGCTCAGAACCTGAGATGGACATTGTGTGCAACTGACCGATGTTTTAAAAACCCCGTAACTTCTGCATTCTTTCAATCTGTCAAAGTCTTGCCGGTTTCTCGTGGTGATGGAATTTATCAGAAGGTATGAATTTAATGATACTCTAATGCTTTACTATATTGGAGACTTTGGTGTTTATGGTACCTGCCAATGTCCGGTAAAATTTGCAGACTTTGGTGAAACTCTTGGCTTATTCTTTTTTTCATTTTATTGCTTTTACTGCCATGGATTAAATTATTTTCTTTGACAACTTGTTCTATTCTGGAAATAGATTCCTTGCTGTCTACTCATTAATTACTAGGCTTTGAAGTCGCTTTTGAGTCTTGTCTTGTGTATTAATGCTTGTTGTTGAGAGTGAAAGCAAACAAAATTTGTTTATTGAATTAATATCCTTTCCTGAGTGAATTACTTTTCCGACCTAAAATCTACCGTTTATGGTTTTGTCTCAAAAATAAGCAGCTGCCTTGTATTATCTGTGTTTTCTTCCATATGTCTTTTGCTTCCTAGCTTCTAGCTATGTCTTGCTTTAGGCCTTCTACAAAATGGAATCTCTTGAGATAAATTATTGAGATTTTATCTTGTTGCTCATTCTGCTGCAGGGAATGGACATGGCCATTTCAAAATTGAACCGTGGTGGGTGGGTCCACATATTTCCAGAAGGAAGTCGTTCACGTGATGGTGGTAAAACTATGGGTTCTTCGAAGAGAGGTGTTGGAAGGTAACAATCTCCTGCGTGGTATTTGGTAATTCATTCAAATACTAGCTGAAAAGTTTGCTTCTCTCACGTTATCGAAGCCGCTTTTCTACTTCTACAATGACATGGAATGGATATGTAAAACTAGCATGTGCTTTGGGAAATTTGCTCCTCGGGTTACTCTGATATGTGTATTTGCTCCTTAGGTTGGTCCTGGATTCAGACAGTGTGCCCATTGTGGTCCCATTTGTGCATACAGGGATGCAAGATATCATGCCAATAGGCGCCAAATTTCCCAGAGTTGGCAAGACGGTATAATCCTAGTCCCTTACATGTGATGAGCTACCAACAGAGATCCTGTTTTAATAGTTTTGCGAACTTTCCTTTGTTCAGATCGGGTGGTTGGTGCTAGTTGTAGGGATTTGGATTTTTTTTTTCCCCTTGGAAAAAGACTCTCTTTAAGGTGATCTTGATCGTCCAATCAATCTAGACAGCCTAGAGTTTTTCATAAAAACAAAAATTATTCTGAACAGTCCTAATTAACTGAGCAGTTAGGTTATACTCCAAATGACAGTCAGTTTTCTCCACAAAAATGAGGGAATTCATAAGTTGCATTGTTATGACCGTGTATGAGGTGTCTTTTGCGTTCCTGTCTGATTCTTCCCTGTGGACCAAGTTATCGGTAATTATGGAAACTGGTTTCTTTACGAAATGGAAGAGCTTCTTGTCATCGACTGCATTTTATTATTCTTTTTTATTGAATAAACCTTTGGCCGTATCTTAATTTGATTGTCTGGACATGATGTTTCCTAGGTTACAGTGCTCGTAGGTGACCCAATCAATTTCGATGATCTGCTAAATGCGGAAAAAGGTGAGAATGTGCCAAGAAGAACACTATATGATGCAGTAGCAACAAGGATTGGCAACCGTTTACATGAATTGAAAGTCCAAGTCACCAATCTGGCTATTGAACAAGAAATGCTGTTAAAAACCAGCTCTACCCATACCGCGGAGCGAGCATCTGGGATTTTTCAGCAGGTTGATTGGGAATTATTTGGAATGGGAAGCTCGATGTCAGTACATGAGGATTCCAAGCAGAGACAAGAAACTCTTGCTCTCCCAAATGAAAGTGTTACAAAACTTCAGTACTCTCATGATAAACACAATTCGAGAACGGGCTTCTCATACAGGGTGCGTGGTTATATGGATCGGATGGAGCTGATGTCCTTTGCTGCGAGAGGCTTGTTTATGAATCGTGGAACCAGGAGTTCTGCCAGCTGTACAGATATAACCCCGTTAAGGGCATGGAAGCAATTTTTGGAAGCAAACGTCTGGCGCCATTGGAATTATTGCTAAAGATGGTCTCTGCTTGTGCCCTGTGTGTGGGTTTCTTGATTAAATTAATTAAAAAAAAGAAAGAGGAGTAGGGATAGGGTAAACACAATGTAATTACGAATGATCTCTCACCTAAATACCAATCTTGTGCTGTGGGATCGTTCCATGTGTCCCCTCTGCGAAAGCCAGCACCTGTGACCTATTGTGGTTTGGGACTGATGACGTCCTATTTGATCAATCAGTTAGATGTGACAGATCAGTTTAGTCTAGAATTGGGGTTTTGCCGAGCAGCAGCTATTGGACGTTTGAATATTTCCTCCTTCCTCGGGCCTGATAATTGACACGAGAGTGAATCGTTTAATTAGTTGATAGCTATCTTTTCAAATAAATGGTTGGATGGCTCGACCTTCTTTTTCCCTCGTGACTTTATGGAGTTGTATTTATTATTCTTTGGTCTTACTGGAATAATACTACTTTTAGTTTTTAATATAAGAACTAATTAACTAAATAGATTAACAAAATTAGTTAAATTCTTTATGCTAATTATGTGTATTAATTAATTAAAATTATTATTTGATGAGATTTTTAACTATAAGGATTATTTTAGAAAAAAATTAGATAAATATAAAAGATAAAGTAAAGTAAAATGTTATATTTAAATTAAATAAAATATTAATTAGTTATTATATTAAACACAAGTTAATCTTACCCTGATTTGGTTTTACAAAGTGACTTGCTCGGACCGCTTGACAAGCCGCGATGGAGAAACTGTCGGACATCAAGCTCGCTCGGGCGTCGTAGGATTTGAGGCAGCCAACGGTGTAATCAAACGCGGTCTTGCGAATGCGCGCGGAGCGGAATCTGGTGATGTGTGTGGTTTTGATGATCTGCACCCATGAATTGCAAATTTGTAATGCATTTTTGGTATTGAATCAGTGAATTTTGAATTATAGTTTTATCGGGATCGATTTGAATTAGAGAGATATCATATATTTTAATATATATATTTTTTAATTCAGAGTATGTTTAACTCATTTTAAACTTAAAACTAGTGTCTGTTACATGAAATCCTCCAAGTGCCCGATTAAAAAGTAAAAACTTTTTTGGGCCAATGCTAGATCTGGGCTTATACTCGCCGTTAGATTCCTCCCAATCAAAGCGTTTTAGCGGTGAAGACTGAAGACAACAGACAAAAGTCCCCGTGATTGTCGACCAAAATTATGAAGTGACGCAAGGTCCTTGAGGTCCCGTTTGGTATATGGAATCTGCTGATTCTCTTGGCACGACAAGGGTAGTAGGTTGAAGAGAAATTTGTTGGGAAGCATTTTCATCATGCAAGGGAGGCTTCTGTCCCACCTATTTCCACGGAGATGGTGAGCTTCCGTTGGAAAAATTTGTAAAATGTCAAAAATGCCTCAACACCAGAACGATTTGCTTCGCTGCTCCGTGTTGAATTTCGATTAAAACCAATCCACGCATTTTATCCTATCTCCTCCATCCCTTCCTTACTCGTGACTCCACTGCTCTCCACGAATTTAATCTTTTTTTTTTTTGGCGAAACGGTTGATAAAAGTTTTGTTAATGGCGGATTTCCGGGGTGTTTAGAAGGTGCCAAAAGCATTTGTTTTACTATATAAATTTCATAAAATCACTTTTAAATTGTAGTTTCATTCTCATCTAAATATTTCATTTATCATCTTCGATCCTTTTTTCAGTTCTCGGAAAAATTGAAAGAAAAATGTATTGGCAAAAGAAATTAACTATCAACTAGTTATATTCTTGAAAATTTATTATGCTCGATTATTTAAAAACAAGTCAGGTATAATATTTTAGAATTTGAATATTTTTAATTAACGAGATTTAAATAATATTCTGATTGAAATTTAGGTATATTAAATTAAATGAGAAGTATCATTATGAAATGAGATTTTAATTGGAGGCTCAAATAAAAAAATAATAATTAATTTTGAATTTGAATAATATCTTGATTGATATTTGAATAGATCAAATCAATTTGAGAGCATCATAATTAAATAGTATGTTAATGAGGACTCAGATGGAGAAATAAATAAATTTAAAATTTCATATATTTCTCTAAATCTGGAATTTCTAAATTTCATTTAGATAATATAATTTATTAGAATTTAAAATCTAATCAAATATTCAAGTTTGTGTATTACATGAGGAAATTTATAGTTATAAGTGAAAAACTTGCACATGAAGGCGGAGAAATTTAAATGTACTGTTATTTATTTTGATAACACTGATAATTTAAATTTTTTATCATATTTTATTATCTTAAAGAAAATAAAATAATCTCTTTCATTAGTAATGATAATTAACATATAATATACTTAATACTCCTCCGGTTCTTAATATAGGACCCAATTCTTAAGTTGGTTTTTGGTTCTAAATATAAGACCCATTTCTCATATTTATTAATTTTCTCTAAATTACCCCTATGGATATTCTTTTAACCATAATCAAGTAGAAGAGGGAGGTGGGGTATTAAGAAAGATGATTATGGTGTTTTAGGAAAAATGTGTCACTTTTTCTATAATTAACTAACTTACCTAACTTTCTTAATCTAATCAAATTAGTTAAATGGGTCTTATATTAAGGACAGAAGGAGTAATTTACATGGGTATTTTAGGTATTCCATCTCAAAGCGTCCGCGGCCGAAAATTTTCCCTTGCCTTCCATTTCCGCCCCTTACCGAACGGGCCCTTGCAGATCACGCTACACGACGAAGCAGAATATTATTATCCGCTGGGTCCACCTGAGCAACTGTGCGTATCTTGTCCGTTCGGATTCAGGACCCTACCCAGTGGATGGTCCTGGTTTTCCAGCAAGCATCTCGATCCCCGCGCGGCCTTGTGGTGGTTGCTCATTTCCTTCGCTGTCCCCACACTGAACTTGCATATCGGAATCTTGTCGCCGGAGTCGCAGAGATATGGCAGAAGAAGAAGAAGAAGCAGAGCTAAGCGACAAGCAGAAGATCGAAATTGCCAAATGGTTCCTCCTCAACTCCCCTCCCGGAGAAATCCAGTACGTGGCCAAAGGTGATTTGCTTCTATTAGCTTTTCATGCATCTGGTTTATCTGTGTAGTTCGATATCTAGAATTTATAATTCGCATTTACTTAAGAAAGATGATTATGGTGTTTTAGGAAAAAATGTGTCACTTTTCTATAATTAAACTTACCTAACTTTCTTAATCTAATCAAATTAGTTAAATGGGTCTTATATTAGGACAGGAGGGAGTAATTTACATGGGTATTTTAGGTATTCCATCTCAAAGCGTCCGCGGCCGAAATTTTCCCTTGCCTTCCATTTCCGCCCCTTACCGAACGGGCCCTTGCAGATCAGCTACACGACGAAGCAGAATATTATTATCCGCTGGGTCCACCTGAGCAACTGTGCGTATCTTGTCCGTTCGGATTCAGGACCCTACCCAGTGGATGGTCCTGGTTTTCCAGCAAGCATCTCGATCCCCGCGCGGCCTTGGTGGTTGCTCATTCCTTCGCTGTCCCCACACTGAACTTGCATATCGGAATCTTGTCGCCGGAGTCGCAGAGATATGGCAGAAGAAGAAGAAGAAGCAGAGCTAAGCGACAAGCAGAAGATCGAAATTGCCAAATGGTTCCTCCTCAACTCCCCTCTCCGGAGAAATCCAGTACGTGGCCAAAGGTGATTTGCTTCTATTAGCTTTTCATGCATCTGGTTTATCTGTGTAGTTCGATATCTAGAATTTATAATTCGCATTTACTTCCGCTTAAATTTATACGGATTAGAAAATGTCCCTGCAGATGTGAAATCGATTCTGAACGACGATGATGTGTACCATGAGGCCGCATTAGAGGCATTTTCCTTGTACAATAAATCTCACATGATTTCCCTTGAAATGCCGGATCGGAGCGGAGACGTATGTATCGATGAAATTCTCCAAACACGAGCATCGTCATTTTCTTAGGGTTTATATGTTTTTTATTCAAAACGTCGCTGTTTCTTTTTAGGGAAAAAATCATTAGAGGAATTTGGATTTTGGATATGATAATTGTTAGGCTGGTAGGGCGCTGTATTTTTTATTTCTTTGCCCCCTCCGTTAACAGATTTTTTTTTTTTGAATGAAAACTGGATCATATCATTACTTCACATAGAGAATGGTAATCATAATGCCGTGCATGGGGTTAACCGATTATTTGCCGAATCGTTTGCGTACATCTTCAGGATTATTTTCTGAAAATCCTTGTGATATCTGGAAAGAGTACAAATTACCCCAAATTTACTGGATTATGTGCATCCGGCTGCATTATTATTATTTTTTTTTTTTAAATTTCTCCTGGCTCCCTAATTTATCATGCGCATGCAGGTGCTAGTTACTACGTTTGGTGAGTTTGAAGAGAATGCCTATCTTGATCCGAGGACTACTCAAGTTGCCATAGTCGACCATGTTAAACAAGTAAGACACCCCCCCCCCCCCCAAAAAAAAAAAAGAAGTAAGGGGCATTGAAATCGTTAATATTGAGTTTACCAAACACATTATAGTCCGATGAAAGATTGGAATATGCTATGGTTCTACTGATTTTTCCCTCTTCCCACCTTGAGGAATGGTGAAAACAAACTAAAAATATAATGCTGCTGCTGCTGCTCATAATCACTACTTTTTCCTTTCATTCATTTTGTTTTAATTTGCAATCTAAGAAAGGTGACGGAAACTATATCACAGCTTAATTTTGATCTGTTGCTTCATCTATTATCTTCAGTACAATGAGTCAAATGTACTCTACTGTCTGCTTATTGTAACATTTCTGCCAATAATTTACATTTTCTTGAAATTGCATTTGAAGTTTGGGGGATGTTTCAAATTATGAAAAAGTGGTACTGCAACTAGGTTATTATAGCTCAATCAATCCTGTTCTATTCTATTCTACTATATACTGGAGTAGATTTGCAGTTCTACTTTGGTCCATTTCCTTTCCCAACTGCGTGTTCTAATTTATATAACTCTGTCACCTGTGTGTTATTATAATGTGCTAAAATGTTTCAGGTTGTACAGAGGTGAGACCTGCAACTGATGCAGAACTTCCATCTTCATACGTTGAAGAATTCCGGTATGCCCTGCACTCTTTAATTTTATGCTTGAAATTTTGTCTGCTTTTATAATTTCCTCAACTAAAGCCAGCTTTAAAGGATTTGATACAATATCACTGGACAGTATACTCTGACTGATTTGTATATTTTTGAACAACTTGTTATTTTGTGTCATTTCAGTAAATTTTGTGTTACCTGCTTGAAAGTGGAAATATCGTCTAGTACAGTATAATGACCAATGAAATTTTTTCTGCAAGTCGTACATGACAAAGTATGTCTTTATTGCAGATGTGCCCTGGATGCTGAAATTCTTAAATATGTGGGTGAAGCTTATCCGAAAGGGGTCTGCTCTGTCTACTGTGTGTAAATGGAAAAGATGTTGAGGGGCCCAGGTTCTGATTTTGAGCTTGTTGTGGTGATCTCTGCTGCTAAGCATAGTCCCCAGAATTTCTGGTGTGTGCAATTAGTCAAATGAAACTCCTGTGCTTTCCTTCCATTTCAACCGTACCATTTAAACAACTAGATTTTGATGCATCTGCTGACGTCAAGTTTATTTTTATTATTTCATCTCTCTTTTGGCCCTTTTTAGCAATGGTAGTTGGCGTTCAGTATGGAATATTCTGTTCAAAGATTATCTACAGATAGTTGAAGTACAGGGAAAAATGCAGGTAATATGGGATATCTTTTTGATGAATAAATTTGAATGGATGATACAAACAACATAATTATATTGACGTGTTTTCAGGTGGGTGCCCATTATTTTGAAGAAGGAAATGTGCAGTTAGATGCAAAACATGAGTGCAAAGATTCAACGCTTTTTCAGGTTACTACAAATCAGCATATTTTTCACCTTTCATTTTCTCTCAGGTGTAGATATAAGGGGATAAATTAGTTAATGTAAAACAAAAGAAAAAAGAAAGAGTGAGAAGACAACGGAGGGGGCGACAGAGAGACACGGGTAGACAACTGGCAGCAATATTTAGTCTCAGTAGTTATTTATCAAAAGGTCGATAATAACTTTAGGGCCATTTGTAGATCTCTAAACACAATAATTAAAATAATAACTTAAACCTAAAAATATAAATAAACCGTAACTTATATTTCTAGTAAAATAAAGCATAAAATAGGAAACACCTAAGAAAGCCTAATAGGAAATAAAATGAAGTCAGAAAAATATAAATACTGAAACATAAATAGTTTCCTAATTTCGCGTCATTTGGCATGCATTTCTTTGCACATAGTTTCTTACAACTTTCATTTCCATGTTATCACTGATTAGCTCTGCCTTTCTGCTGTCAGTTTCCTTGCTTCTTTGATAAAAAGCATCGAGTGCAATCTCAATTATCCTGTAAAGACTAAAGAGAACTTCTTATCAAGTATCTCATTAATAATTTGATTTCTGTGACAGGATATACATTAAACCTAATATACATATGGAAAAAATGAGCTTCAAATATTCACTGGAAAGTTGTGTAGCGAATGACATGATGATGGTTGTTAAGTAATCCTCACAGATACTTGTTTTCCACGGGCATTTAACTTAATTGTCCCTGTTGCTAAATTAATTCATTACTTTCCTTGGCTAATTGTTGACGTCTCAGGTACTTCAACTGGGATTTATTTGTCATGGATGAGCCGTATTCCTGCATGTGATTTTTTTTCTTCTTGCATAATCATTTGATTGGCACTTCTGTGCTCGATATTTGGTTCTATATTCAGGCCCCGGAAGATTGTGCTCTTGCCATATCAAGCATTATTAGTCACCATGAAACAGAGTACCTGGCTTCTCTCGAGGTTCTGAATTTTCCATCTTGTGGCATGGTTTTTTAAATTAAATATGTATGATATACTAATGGTTTGCGGTTGTTGCTTTACAGGCGTCGTATTTAAACTTGCCCGATTCCACTTTTAAGGTACTCTTTATATTATAAAGGATCTTTCTGTTTTTTTTTTTTGGGGGAAAAAAATCTTCCCTCCAAGTTTTAGATGGAGTGTCTATGGAATTGCTTTATGATACTTTGACTCCTGTTAAAGTTATCTAATTCGCGTCATGCATCTCTCTATTAGTGTCAGCCGCACAGTGCTCTGATGATCACCCCCCCGGGGGGGGGAGCTCCTGGTCATTTGTGAATTTGAACTGAACTTAGGAATAGCACATTTATGCAGGGTTTGTGAACCCGCGTTCTTAGTTCTTACTGGATCGCATGGGTGGATTTGCCCCTGCCCTCTTTATCTTTGTCAATTATACCCTTTAAACGGATGTTAAATGACGCCACATTCACACTTGAAATTGCTGGGGGGGGGGCATATATGCTTCAAATTGCTCAATCTGACAATATGTTTTTACTTTTTTCGCTTGGATAATTTATTACTGAACTAGTTTATTACACGCCTGGTCTTTTATAGAAGAGACTGATGTGTGTTTGAAAAGGGCAAGGCATATTTCCTGCTTTGCTTGTCTATAAATCTGTTGATTTACCCGTGTTGAGATTTATTTAAAGCTCGGGAATGACTATTGCAGGATCTTCGGAGGAAGCTCCCAGTCACTCGTACGCTATTTCCGTGGCACAACACCTGCAGTTCAGCCTGACAAGAGACATCACAAAAGAGCTGGCATTGGAAAGTGAACATGCACCCAAAAGACAGAAACTTGTGTGACAGGAGCAAGATAGCTATCCCAGGGGCTGATTTCCTGTTTTCATTCGTGTGCTGCATGAATCATCCTCCTCTGTGTTTTGAGACTCTCTGCCTGGGATAGGGGCATTGTACTGTAATTCTTTTAAATACAATTCTGTAATTCTGTATAGCACTAAGAATTTACGGTCTTAAGAAATTAGTTGGCGGACTGCATGAAACCGGCTACGTTGTCATAGAAAGAGAAGAATTTGGTTGCACGGACGTATCTCCACTGTTGGAATCTGGCCCCCGCATTCGCAATATTTGGGAGAGAAGGAATGATCCATTTAAATTCTCTTTCTCTTTCTCTCTCTGACATTTTATGTAAACCTATATGAGATAGAGGGGATATAGTTAGCAATTCGACGAAACGCAGACATACCTTTACTATGGCATAGTTATTTGACTTTCCATTCATCTCTTATGCGTTATGACCGTGTGTTATATTTCTATTAGTAAGTAGTTATGATGAAGAGCCTTCTTTGGCAGCTTACATTATGACGAATTTTTAAAACCATTTTTGCAGGATTATTTCACAGTGATTAAATGTTAAGTATCAGATAGTATTTCACTATTTTTGCCCAATTTCGTGAATTAGAATTACAAATTTACTAAATACTTGTACAGAAATGAAATTATCCGGATATATTAATAATTAAAAATAACGTTAAATAATCATTAAATGAAATATTATGCTATGTGTAGTGATTATTGCATCATAATTATGGATAAGCTAATTAGAACTTCACAGAATAACCAAATTTCGGGTGAATCGGCACAAAAGTAGACTAGGATCAGAGAGCGGCCTTGCTCATTCGGAATTAATTAATTAATTAATTAAAACGACGGACTACTACAAAAGTCTATTTCCGTTGCCGGGAATCGAACCCGGGTCTCCTGGGTGAAAGCCAGATATCCTAACCGCTGGACGACAACGGATGCTTGATGGAAGGCCTTCATTTTTATCACTTTCTTATATAATTCTCTGATACCTTGTATTTAATCGATGGCTAGGGTTCTTTTTTCTCACGCAGCGCGATTTGACAAATCCGCCTTTTAGTATGCCTTTGATCGCCCTGTCCTTACTTTGGTTACTCCTCCATCTTGCTTGATAATTGGAAATCAAATTCATATCAATCAGTAAAAGATTTAGGGATTTGCATTGCATCACATGATCCTCCGCCTGTATTTTGCTTCTGGTCTGCGTTCTCCGTAATCCGCTTCCGTCTGCGAATATAGTGTGTTCGTTATCCCTTCCTTTCTTCCCTGTCTCTGAATGAATGATGCAGCTTAGCCAAATCAGACATTCATGTGCTCCACAAAGCATTATCTTTTAAAGCCATATGGCACTTCGAGAGTGCAAGCATTGGTTGATGTGCTCTGTGTTGAAGTGCAGTTTTTTTGATGATAAACGAAGAGATTGGTTGTTTACTGACCAGAGCAGTTCTTTTTCTTAAAGAGAGGAAGCTAGGGTTGGTGGGGGGTATTTTTTAAGGCTTTGTTTTTGCCAAGTTCTGATTCATCTTTGGAACGAGGTATTTGGTAACTTTTTTGTAAAAACACACAACATTTTAGCCCCGACCACATGTATGTGCCACTACCAACTATGCCGGATCTTTCTTTGACTGACGATTTTTAAGGGTTAAAAGTATTGCTCATAGATTAGTACACCTTATAATTTAATATTACTTTCGATTCTTATATAAGATTTTGTTTGATTTTTATTTTAGTCATAAATACAAACATCTCAATCCATATTGTCTATATTTATTTTTCTTTTCAAGAAACTCTTTGTATAATAATTTCTAACCAATATACTTGAGTAATAAGGATATTTTTAAAAAAAAATATTTATTTATTATAAATAATTATAAAGTTAACTTCCCTTAATTGTCGCTTTGGGGTTACTCCAAAAATTAACCAAATTAATGTAATATAGTACACAATCCGGGTCGTATTCACTTTGAGGAGTCGAAAATGAAATTAAACCCTAGTAAATAAATGCTAATAACCTAAACTATAAAAAAGGATTTTTTGATTTTGAAAAATTGCTAATTAAATGCCTTGAATTAAATTGAAATTAAAATAATTTTTTTTTGTTTTATGTAAAAATGATTAAAATGAATGAAAATTAAAGAAATGAAAATGAGACACACAAATAACACTGATAAAAATCAATCATCCAAATCAACAATTCAGGCAATCATCACTCTAAAAGATGTGGGAGTTAAAACAATGAATTAAGAATTATAATTAAGCTTTTAGTCCAACAACCGAGCCACCTCGAATTGCCTCAAAATATTTTCCTAAAAATTTAAATTACTAACTGCAACCAGAATAGTAAAATGAAATTAAAGATACTAAAAACCAATACTTAATTAAACTCTTAAATAAAAAACAATAGAATTAAAGCTAACAAGAGACAATATGATCCAAGATTCTAAGTCACTTTAGAAAATCATAATATATTAACTCCAAAATTAATATAAATGTCATTACCACAACATTATAATTGAAATCAAAGCTATAAACAGCCAATGTCAAATGCTAAACAATAATCCAGTTAAAATAATCCCCAAATATAATCAGGTTAAATAATATAATTATCCCAATAATCAGAAAAAACTATCCTAAAACCTAAGAATTGTTAAACAATTATTGAATAGGAAATTAAAGCAACTAAAACTCCCTTTTAAAAATCCAAGCTCCTGTCATTATTGTTGAATTGGACAATCATGACTTAGCCACGGTTTGCCATCAAATTCGCTGCCACCAACAATTCTTTATTGCAAGCTTCCATGGGAAGAAGGACGGACTGATTTTGCTGTCTCACTCGTTCTGTGCGCTGGCAAGGAGAAGAAGAAGGTGAAGGCGTCGTCGCTCACTGGCTCGTCGCCCAGCTCCTGCTTCTCGCCGTCACGAGCTCGTGTTCCGCTTCGCGTCCTGCTATGTTTTGTCTCTTTTTTCCGCCGCCCACAGCTCGTTCCGTCTTCAGGAAGAAGTCAACGATGATGATGGTCTTGAATGGAGGTGGGAGAGGTGATGATGATGGATGGATGATTTCGCTTCTTCCCCGTCGAGCTCTGGACCTCACTCTGTTTCTCCCCTGGTGCCGCTGTCCGTGCGTCTTGCTCTGTTTCCTCCAGCCGCGCCTCCAGTTTCTGTTTTTCCGCTTTTTCGCTAGTGTTCTTTCCTTCCGGGTCCTCTTCCGCCTAATTGAAGAAGATGGATATTAGGTTGGGGCAAAACGTTGCGTTTTGCCCCCACCTTATTATTATTATTTTTCTTTTTAATTTAATTTTTTTTTAATCTTCTAAGAATCTGCAAACAAAATTTAAGGATAAGGTAGCATTAATTGTCCTCAAAAATCAATTAGTCACAATTAAATCAAAATATGACAATTTTACCCCTATAAAATAATAATTCAAAAGAAAACATATTAAATCCATTAACAATCAATTAAAGTCAAAAGGGACTAATTAAGTTAACAAAATCCATATAAAAGATATCAAAATATATAAAAATAATTAAGTTTGTCAAACTAATTTAAATAATTTTTTAATTTATTCAAACCAATCAACTAAGTTTTGTATTGTAATTTTTAATACTGTTATAACAAATGGTTTAGAGCGTTTTTTTTGTTTTTGGCTAGAACCCACGGCAGAAAAAACACCCTCAACATCAACCAGTAGCAAACGGATTCTACCAATCTTCTCCTCTACACCATAAGATGAATCTGATGGCTTTATTCACGCGCTTCCTACGCACAGCAAGAGTGGCACGGGAGGGGATCCGGGTCCTCTTTCATCGTATGGGACAAGTTTTCCTCTCTCTCTCTCTCTATTAAGTGTGACCTATCTCAGTGCTCGGAACTAAAGAATCAAATATACCTCCCTTCGACATCTCACCATCTTGTTCTCCAAGGTTTGGGCCGGGAAGTAAATCTGTTGAATTTAATCATTCACTTACTAGTAATCACGCTCGGAGCCTCCTAAGTTTTGCTCATTCTCGATAATCCCTAGCTTCATCGCCTCTCAATTTTTCCTTCGCACTGATAATCGATGGCAACAGCCATGGTAGAGGATAGCGGCTTCGAAGATGACCAGTTGGCGTCGATGACTACCGACGACATCGTCAGAGCATCCCGTCTACTCGACAACGAGATTCGAATCCTGAAGGTCTGATATCCCCTCTCTAGTAATCTCTTTTCATTTGTATATACTTTCGTTGCCTACTCTACTTCTGGTTACTGTATAGCGTAGCTGTTAGGGTTACCTATTTGATTGTTCTCGCCAGTGTCAAATATGCTAATATCGAATTTTTTTTTTTTCCTTCCAATTCTTCGAAGTCTCGCGGTGAATTCTTCGTACTCCTAGACGTCAGAATATTAATAGATTGCTGAATTTTTTTTTTTTTTACTCATACTTCTCACCTTTCTATTGATGCAAAATGTTCACTTTCTATATCCTGGTAAATTGACAACTGGTTCTCCTTTCTAGGCCTTCTGGCATAATTGATGTACTTAATGCAGGAACCAACTAATTTGAGTAGATAGATTAAAGATGTTAATTAAATTAGTTAATATGATTTTTATTTTGAAAAAAGTAAAAAAGCACTTAATTATTCTTGGGAGGGGTCAGTCTCGGAAAAAATTGGTGAGCATGTGAAATAGGTCTTACATATGGGGCTAATATTCTAATTAAGTCTTTATATTAAGGATTAGAGTATTAAGTTTCTGGTTTTGACTTCTATCGTTTTGGGATGAAGGAAGAGTTGCAGAGGACTAATCTGGAGTTGGAATCATACAAGGAGAAGATAAAAGAGAATCAGGAGAAAATCAAGCTCAATAAGCAATTGCCCTACCTTGTAGGGAATATTGTGGAGGTAGTTCACTGCTTTTATCCTCGTTGCTAATGTGCATCACTCTTATTTTCATTACAGCCTTGGTGTCCATCGTTCAGTTATTTTTATGATCCATAATAGCCTGCTACACTGAAGACTAAGATTTATGTCAAGGCATGTTAAGGTATTTGCACATTTGATGGCGAAGATATGTTTATCTGGTGAAATTCTGAGACCCAATACCTAGTAATATTGCTGTTTACAAAATTAAAGCCCTCTCTTGATATTTCTCATATGTTTTTTTTTTTCCCCGTTAAATTCATTTATCTTAACCTCCTAACAATTGAGGCCGTATGGCCCTTTGTTAGAGAAAATGCCAATGTGCAGTATACCCTGGACCATGAAACGGTAAAGGTTGCGTTATGTGTATTGATGTTTTGGATTTGCACTGAGTAGCAAATTAGAAGGCAATTGGATGCCTTTTAAACATCAATCTGTATTTTTTATTTAAATTTTTCGAGTAAACTTCTCTCTCTTCCCCTTGGTAGTGATTTACTAGCTTATTCTTATGTCCCACGTTCTCCTCAAATTGTGACCTTTTTTTCTTTTTCCAGATATTGGAAATGAACCCAGAGGACGAAGCTGAAGAAGATGGTGCCAATATTGATCTTGACTCACAAAGGAAGGGTAAATGTGTTGTACTAAAGACATCTACTCGACAGGTGACATAGATGATGTTACTTTGTTTTGTCATCAAGGAAATATAAGCCTTCATATATACTTTTGGAATTATCTGGTGATAAAGAGCCTCTTGTCTTTGTTACGGCAATCATAAAATCTAATTGTGCTTTGTTTCTACTCCAGACAATCTTTCTTCCTGTTGTTGGGCTTGTTGACCCTGATAAGTTAAAACCTGGTGATCTGGTCGGTGTTAACAAAGATAGCTATTTAATCTTGGATACCCTGCCTTCTGAGTATGATTCTCGAGTAAAAGCCATGGAAGTTGATGAAAAGCCAACTGAAGACTATAATGACATAGGTGGATTAGAGAAGCAGGTGAGGTGTAATTATTGGCTGAATCTATTGTAGCACACTATTTTTGGCAGGTTAACGTGGTTCTCTAACATCGTCTTTGTTGACAGATTCAAGAATTAGTTGAAGCCATTGTTTTGCCAATGACCCACAAGGAAAGGTTTCAGAAGTTAGGAATTCGTCCGCCAAAGGGAGTGCTCTTATATGGGCCTCCAGGGACAGGGAAAACATTGATGGCTCGTGCTTGTGCAGCACAAACAAATGCCACTTTTCTGAAATTGGCAGGCCCCCAACTGGTCCAGGTGTATAATTCGTAACCAATTTCTGTCCTATTTTTTCAATTTTGAGTATTAGCATGGCTAATGATTTTATTGTGGTTTGTTTGTCTAGTTTTTTGTTTTTATTTTCTTTCTTGTAAGTTTAAGTAGAGTTGATGTCTTGACTTTTGCCAATCTTTAATAATGCACCGGGAACCAGGTTATACATTATTCTCCTTTGTTTTCCTGCTTGCTAACATGCTGGTGATGTCTCGTATATGCATTTTGGTGTTGGAGAGGTGATGATTG